ACAGGTGTCGCAGCTCTTCACCTTCCGGAGACAAGACAATCTCTTGACTTGGAGCTTGGAGGAGAAGTCTGTGTGGATGTACTTGGGCCCTGAGCCCCCCACCCCTCCCCCTTCATTCACATGGACATTTCCTCAACTTGCTCCCTCTGCCTTCTAGCTAATGAGGCATGGAACTCAAATTCGTGACTGAATGGCCCAGCCCTCAGACTGGCTCACAGGGTGATGGGTGACCAAGAGCCATGACCAGGAGGGGAAATTGATGGAGTCACTCATGTAATCACCGATCTAAAGGTCATACCTATGAACTCATTTTGCAAAATGCCATGTCCTGTATCAAGAAAAGGTTCTGACACATTCCATGGAAGTGTCTCACATTCAGCTCTAGACACATTCCAGAAGGTCACCCACACCATGCCAGCCAGAACCCAGGAAGCTGGAGCTGCAGGGGGGCGGGTTTGGGGGCCCTCAGGGGTGGCCTGGCCGCTATTGGGCTGTGACTTCCTCAGTCTCAGCCTTGGTTTCCCTTGGCTGAAAATGAGGCAAGTGTGGACTAAATTTTTTTTTTCTTAAATAAATGTGGGTTTTTTTGGACTACTTTTAGACTTACATAAAAGTTGCAAAGATAGCACAGAGAGTTCCCATATATTCCTCACTCAGCTTCCTCCAATGTTACCATTTTACATTTCCATGGTACATTTGTTACAGCTAACAAACCAACAATGGCACATTACTATTCATTAAACTCCAGGCTTTTGTGCGATTTCACTCATTTTTCCCAGTATTGTCCTTTGTCCTATCCCAGGATACCACATTGCATTTAAGGCTAAATCATGTATAAAGTCTCTTCTCAGCTCTAAAAACAAAAGGGTCAGTAAGCCTTTATGGTTAAGGGCTCTGGGTGTGTCACTTAGCCAATGAATGCTGTGCTCTGTGACTTTGGGCAAACCCCTTACCCTCTCTGAACCTCAATCTTTTCATCTATAAAAGTGGGATGATACTAGTACTGCTTTATAGGGATACTATGAGATAATCATTTACTAATTCAAATGAAGTACTTAGTGTGGTTCTTAGTGTACCATGAGCACTCCTTTGATCAATCTCAGCTGGTAGAAATCATAGACTGAAAGCACACCTTAGCACAAAATCTCCCAACAAAATGGCTGCTCCAAAAAGAAGACATGATGTTGCTGGGCTATCATGTCAGACACAATGTAGAAAGCACAGGATGGGAGGTACAAAGATCTGGAGTCATGCTGGCTTGGCTTGGAGTCTCACCCACCCACTCACTAGCTGCATGACCTTAAGCAAACTGTTCAGCCCCTGGATCTCAGCCGCCACAGATGTTAAATGAGAACAAATCACCCACCTTCCAGGGTTGCTGAGAACATATAAAGAGACCTGTACTGTAAACCATGATCAGGACTGAGATGCAATATTTGGCTGCCTCTTTCTTGTATCTCTTCTGGGATCCAGTAGGCCGTTGAATGTGATTGGGGTCATTAAAAAATCCACTGAGGGCCGGCCAAGTGGCTCGTTGGTTAAGAGTTGGCTTGAAAGCGCAAGCTCTGAGCAGCAGGGCCGCTGGTTCGGATCCCACATGGGCCAGTGACACTGCGCCCTTTACAGCTAAGATGGTGAACAACAGCTTGACCTGAAGCAGGGCTACCATGAGTCGCCAGCGACGGCATAGGCTGCAGTAGGGCTGCAGTGGGCTGCCGTGAGCTACCGTGAGTGGCCAGCAGCCAGTGTGAGTGGTCGGCAGCCGGCATGAGCTGCCGTGAGCCGCCGTGAACGGTCATCCAGTGGCCAGCGGCCGACCTGCCCCACCCGGGAAGAGCACAATAACCACAATACCAACATGGGCCAGTGAAGCGACGTCCTCCACAACTTGATGGAAGAACAAAACGACAGCAACTTGTCTGTTCCCCTTCCCTAATACCCTAATGCTGTTCCCTCCCCTGATTCCCCAATAAAATCTTAAAAAAATGAAAAAGTATCCACTGAAATCTGATATGGAAAGTTCCCAGGGACTGGAACAGAGGTCCTGCTCACCCCCACCACCTGTTTTTCTTTTTTTAAGAGGGGGAGGTAGATGATCGACTAAACACTTGGCCTCCTTTTCCCAGCCAAAGTCATGTTAAAAAACTAACCCCATAATCTTCCTTGCTACAACGCCATTTCTTATCCAGAATAAAATTGGACAGGGAACCCAACTATGCTACCTGTGCCTGATTTTAAAAGGAAGCACAAAGCTATTCCCACGGTCTCTCTGATGAAGAACTTACAGGGCCCGTTTTCACAGAATCACAGAATGGCAGCTGAAGGAACCAAAGAAATCAGGGTATCACTCCTGTTTAAAGATGAACAAATGAGAACCTGGCAAATCTGCTCTTTCAAGGTCATACAGAAGAAGGTCATACATTCAGAAGTAGAATGAGACCCCGGTCACAATATTTCCACTTCTGTGCTCTTGTTGGCTCTCTGACTTGGAGACCCATTAGGCTCTGAGCTGCTGGAGGACATCCATTCATCCATCCACCCATCCATCCACCCACCCATCCATCCATCCACCCATCCACTCACCCACCCATCCATCCACCCATCCATCCATCCATCCACCCACCCATCCATCCANCCATCCACTCACCCACCCATCCATCCACCCATCCATCCATCCATCCACCCACCCATCCATCCATCCACCCATCCACTCACCCACCCATCCATCCATCCATCCACTCACCCACCCATCCATCCATCCATCCATCCATCCACCCACCCATCCACGTTGGCATTGGACACCTACCCGGGGTAGGCACAGTGCTGGGTGCTGGGGTAAATGAACAGGACTGTCACAGTCCCTGACCTCATGATTTCCACTCAATGAGCTAGGACTTAATCTTGGTCATCTGTTTCCACAGTGCCTGGCACATGGTAGGTACACAGCAAACATTTATTGAATAAGACACCTTTCATCTTCAGTAATGCTCCCACTTTTATGACTGATGCACTGGGTTGTTTTGAAGATGTTAATGGGGCTAAAACTCAGTATTTGTGTTTGTCTTGAACCACCTTCTCCAATCATCATTCTGACCAGAAGACATTGTGTGGTAGTGTGCAGACATAGCAACAACATTGGGCAAGGACTCCATAAACCCAAGTTCATGTCCCAGCTCTGAGCTGCTTATCCCTGCCTGGCAACTGAAAGACACTGAAGCCTGTTTTCTCATCTATAACATGGAGCCAGTGATACTTGACTTGCCTGTTTCACTCGACTGTTATAGGGTGGGGGGTGGGGGGGGCCGGGGGGAAGAGGGAAACTTCTAGAAAGATATGAATAAATGGTTGAGATGTTACTTGTATGATTTACTCTAATGACGAGTACGAGTATATTGAGGACACAAGGAAAAATAAAAGTGATCAGCTTTTTAGCCAGTGCTGAACACACTTTTGTTTAAACCTTCTGTACTGTAAGTAGTTGTGATTGCCCCAGATTTGTTCCAACCTTCGAAGAGATTAAATTTATGGACTTGTGACATCACACATGTCATTCCAGCCAATCCTGACCCATATTTCTTTCCATTTGGTGCATGTAACAACAGTACAAAAGAGGTGTTGTAACCTTAATTGCTTGCAAAGTATTTTGAAATCCTTAGATTAAAAAGCTTGGTGAAGTCCAAAGTATTACCTGCCTGTATGCCCAAGGAGTTGTACGGAGTCTCACCTAGATACCTTGAATCAGAGAGACATTATAATGTCTGTCCTGGGGCCGAGGTCTGCCCCAGACACTTTGGGGCTTAAGGGTCTTATTCATGGAATAGCCCCGACCAACCCCAGCTTCATAGTTTCTAAGCTACCCAAATATTTGGCCATCTCCCATGTGGCTTCTGATGTGCCTTTTCCATTTATTTTCTTAAGGTCCTGACTCATGAGGCCTGAGTTGCACTTAGTTCGGTGTCATAGGTCTGCTTTCCTGGGTGATGTCAGCCTGAGTCCTAGAAAAGGGCAGTTGTGTCATCTGTAACTTCTGTGTGCCTCTTCATTTTAGCCCCGAGTTGACGAGTGAGTCCTTATTCTAATTCCTACACTTGAGTTAAAATTCTAATTCTAAAACATAAAAGTTAAAACTCTGTCCCTTGGTGGTAACCTTTGGAGGGGGTGTCCGGCAGAGACTAAAAGGGGCAAAGGGGTCTCTTAGGGTCCTGGCACTGTTTTGTTTTCTTGATCTGGCTGTTGGTTACACCGATGTATTCGGTTTTTAGAGAATTCAGAACTCTACACTTATATGTGCATGTTTTTCTGTATGCTTGTTACACTTTGAAATATAAAGTGTTTTGTTTTGTTTTAAATCTGGATGTTAATTGACTTCACTTAAAATAGATTCTGGTGTGATGGCGAAGCTATAAACTAATGAAATCTTCTTCTGCCTTTGTGATTCAAAATGTCTTTAGTTTCTCCTTTATTTCCATTTTTTTACACCTACAGGGGGAAAAAAAAGGAAATGCCTATTAGCCATTTTAATGAAGTCTAAATGGGGGTGGGGGGGGCGGTTCTCAACAGGAAGCCTGGGAGGCCTTCACAGATATATATCCACGACACCTGAAATCATAGCAAATTCTGTTGGATACACGTGTGTATTTTTCTGAGCAGTGTCCATAGCTTTCATTAAACTCTCAAGGGTCCCTGACCTAAAAAAGACCAAAAAAGCCAAAAGGATTCTTACAACTCAAGGCTTATTTATGTACGTTCCTCTTGAAATGTTTTTCACCTCTAAGTTGAACCCCTAACCCTCCCAACCTGATTTCATCCAATTGGCTTCACCCATCAAAATTAATTCACTCACTTCAATGAAAAAAAGGGAATGGGTTCTGTCAAAGGCCCTATATAATAATTATCTGTTTAGTCCTGTTTGCCTCATAAGATTCCAAGCCCTGAGGCCGGAGACCTTTGCAATCCCCGGTGTGATATTGCACAAGGCCCCAAGAAATGCACCGTGCCTATTTACGAAACCAGATTTATTAAAATGTCTCTACAAGTCAAAAACGGCCATCTCACTGTTCACATATATACACATGTACAGATCTAGTGTTTCTACAATAGCTTTGCCGGCAGAAGCCCCCGCCGGTCCAGAGTCCTTAGCGGGGTAAATGTATCACAGATACAACAATCGAACAACCACGAGAGCGTTAGTGCGGCAGACGCCTGTCCTTCCTCTCCTCCCGAGTCCCATGATTCTGTCAAGGTAATATTGCCAATAATCATTCACATTTCACGTGGTTTTAGACACGCAGGTTATTTCAGACAGACACAGACAACAAAACAAGCCTCAGAGCCAAGACAACAACAACAACAACAATCAGACGTTATGTATAAAAGGTAAAAATATATGTACAAAGTACACAGTACATGAGGTATACACGGCATTCGGAACAATGCATGTTAGTAGTTTGCGTAGGCATAGCCCTTAAGGATGACTGCCTGTTTTTGTGCCATTTCTCAAAATACAGTATGTTTGGTTTACCCGTTTAACCACCACATTTCAGTCCTGTCCGAGACATTTGACCGATATTTCATCTATACTTGTTTTTTTAATGCAAGTCGTAGTTTTCCCGTTAAGCGCTTGTCTTTTTTGTAGGGAGTGAGTTCCCATCTCTGGAAGTATTCAAACGAGGCTGGATTCCCAGCTGTAAAAGAAGCCTGAAGGGGGGATTTTTCTGCACTGGGAGGTGGCAGAAAGAAGAAAGAAGTTGGGACTAGGTGACTTTTCAAGTCCACCCCGACTTAAAATTGGAGCTTGCTGTTTCATATTTCACTCTGGGTGCTGATTACACAGATGTATTCATAAAGCACACCACATTTCCAATATTAACAACTCATCATGCAAAACTGCAGACACACACACACAATGCAAAGGGCAGACCATATCTATGGGGTTGGGGGGTGGGGAGCGAAAGTATAAAGTATAATTCTGGAAGTTGGTCTGAGAACTATCCAAAATTCACTTTCTTTGAAGTTTAATATTTGCTCTTGGGAGAGAGGAGTGTAGAATCTCCCTGTCTTTCTCCTCCTAGACAAAATGCTCCACCCTGAGATGGTCCTGGGGGGAAAAAAGTAAAGGATAAATGCTAATGTATTTAGGGGACCCAAAAAAGCTAACAGTTTCCAAGTGCTCAAATTATTTTTAAAAATCTACAGTCTCTCTGTCTGAGCTCAGAGTTCTGAAATAGCCAGGAGTTCAAATCTTTTGAGATACTTTTCCATGGTGAGCTGGTAAGGGCCTTTACAGCGAGGGTGGGGAGGTGACGTTTCAAAGTCAGAAAGAAGGCATTAGTGCAAATGAGGTCTTGGCAGGAAATGGAGAAGGTCTGGGTTCATAGGTCAGGCAGGCTCCTATGCTCCTGAAACAGTCCGCTCCAAAAACGGAGCAGTCGTTAGTAAATGCGTGTAAAGAAAGGATGAGTGTGAAACCAAACCAAAAAAACAAACGACAATTCTCCAATCAGAGAAGCTGGGGTAGCGACAGTCTAGCTACCAAAGACAAGTTCGAAGATGGCAGGTTAATTGGCCCAAATTATTTGTCACCCTGTTAAAACAGGTTATTGCCCCAAATGCCATTGTGCGATTCACTTCCTCTCCCTTGAGAATGTTCAAGTTCACTTGCTGTAGGACACCCATGCTCTGTGCCACCTGTAAGAGACGTGCACCCCCGAATCTGACAACGGGATAGTTGGCGAGGGTTTGTTAAGAAGGGGAACAGCTTTGAAGGGCAGCCAATCAGAGTGTACACTGCTCAGATCAGTCAAGTCACTCATCAAAGTCCGAGGGGCTCCATGTTCAGTTCAGCAGCTACAATCTTTACGCCATCACGTATCTGGTTGGCACCACATCGAAAGGCCTGTCCATCTTGAGAAGTGGAAATGCCATGTGTGAGAATGATGAGGTTTCTGAGGTTTTTTGGGATTAGCAGAAGAAGGAACTGACATCACTGTCCTCCTGGTACTCTGGGACAATCTGGTCTGCAGTTCCCATTTCTGAGTCGATGTACCCAGGTTCCAAGACAGACTCAAACCAGGGATGGAGTAGAATCTCGGGGGCGGTGAGTCTCTCGGAAGGCTCTCGTCTCAGGAGGCTGCGAATGAGGCACCTGGCTTTGGGGGAAATGTGGTCGGGGATGCAGAACTGTCCACGGCGGATTTTGGAGAAAAGGGCGCTGGGATCTGAGTCATGGAAGGGGTAGCGCCCCACCAGGAGGGTGTAGAGCATCACCCCGAGGCTCCACACGTCCGCCGCCTTTCCCGAGTAGGTCCCGGTGGTGTTCAGAATCTCGGGGCTCACGTAGGCTGGGCAGCCGTGTTTGTCTGACAAAGCATCGTCTTCACCCTTAATTATGTGTGTATCTTCCAGACTTTCCAGTCTGAGCTGGGTTCTGCAAGAGAGAGAAAACAAGCCATTACTTCCAGATCAACTGCTATGAAAACGCAGCTTCCCAATACCAGCGCCCACAGGCACTCGTAGCCAAGGCCCCAGGAATGCCATTTACCCCTTCATCCAGTAAGCAGTTCCCTGCAACCACCCAGGACTCAGGATTTCACAAACCAATACATACAAACTGCAATAAACATTTGCAAAGTATCAAGAGAGCGCCCGGGGTGGAGCGTATGATGCAAAGCCCCAAATACTACTCATTAGGCTACAGCTTAAGAAGAAATCTCCTAGTAGGGGTTACACAACTTTTAAAGTGCACATTGCAGAAGTGGGAGCTGGTGGCTCGGGAATGCTGACCTTTTCTACAAAAGCTCCCAGGGAAGAGCAGTATATCCTATTCTTCAGGGAGGGCCTGAGCACCCTACAAGTGGATCTTGTTCTTATCGTGCCACTGAGGGCCAAGGCTCCTTGGACACACGCTTTGCATTACAGAACATGGAGCCCAAAGTCACTATTATTATTATGCACTCCTGCTCACATTGATATATACACACAGAGGACAATCTGTCCGCCTGGGGCCAGGCCATGATAACCAATGGGAAAAGTGCAAGGAATGTCCACTACATTTATTGGGGCGTTTAACTGCCAAGAATGCTTAGCCTAGACAGAGAGGTTATATGAGCCAACAGAAGCAGCTGGTGGATTTGAAGGATGCAGGGGCCCCAAAACACCTACATACGTGCACACACTCCCTAGGATGGCACATGAACGCCTGAGCATATATACACTACATGAGGGCTTATCTGTTCAGGTCATAACTGAAGTCTGAATCATCTTTAGTCAAAGGCTCCCTTATGAAGCTGAAGGGGCTTCCTTATTGAGATCTAGCTTCCCAAGTCTTGGGGATCCAGGTGGGGAACCTCCAGTATCTGGCAGCATCTTATACTCCTCCCTGCTTCTCTGAAATAGCCCTGTTTCAGTAAGTCACTTGTGAAGTTAAATGCAAACATTTGGTATTGGCTAATGGGTCAATTCCTTTTCCTCTCAAAGGGTTGGTTGCCTTTTTTTTTTTTTTTTATCTTCCTGCCTTCCTGTTCCCTGGAGTGTAGCATGCATGTGCTAACTTTGGTATGTCCTCAGCCTGACCTCCCGTCGTTATGTAAAATACCCATTGGTTCTGTAAACGGAAAATATGACTCAACCCACACTGTCTGCCCCCCGATTGGCTGCTGTAGCACTAAAGCCCTGCACCTGTGCTGGTTACAAGGCTAGCGTCAGCCTGGCATTACTTAACCCTCGGGTTGCCAAACTCCATGTACATGACATTCGCCTGTGCAATGCAGATTTCAAAAGCTAGTAAGGAGGTGTGGAAGGCATGTTTCAGAAAATACATCACCATATCAAAGGAGTATGTGCCAGGAATTGGAAACTTCGCCATTGCAAACACTTGGCTTTTCTTTGCTAATCGGCATGTTTCAATAATTAGTGCAAGGTCAGATACAAAGCGGTGCTTTCTGGTAACTCGACCCCATACTTTTTCATAGGATTTGGTGTGACGGGTAAAAAAAAAACAAAAGCACAGGTGGGGTCAGCCCTGCATAAATAGCTACAACCCAGTAACACACATCCATCTCTACAATTCTATGACACTATTGCTTTTAATCTTTCCATAAGATGTAGGATGTGGCCTACCTCTTGAAATCAGGTAAGGTTTATCTCCTGCGGCTTCCTGCATTGTCTTGTCTGAAACCTTAATTCTGAATCTTAAGGTATCATTATTCTCTTATCAAGTGCATCTTGTCCTTTATGAGGTAAGCCATGATCTATATTTAGCAACCAATTCCAGCCAACTGTGTGGCTATTTTTCTGAAGACAGAGCCAAACAAGGTGTCTAAAAAGTCACTGGAGAGTGTGAAGCAAATATTGGAGGGGGTGTGGGGGGCAAGCCTGAGACGGAACAGGAATATGGTGTGGTCAATGTGGCTATTTTTCTGAAGACGGAGCCAAACAAGGTGTCTAAAAAGTCACTGGAGAATGTGAAGCAAATATTGGGGGGGGGGGGGGGGTGCAAGCCTGAGACAGAACAGGAATATGGTGTGGTGAAGGGCAGAATTCTGCAAATATGACATTCTAATTACCTCTGTGATACCTTCTGGGTACAAAATAACCCCACTTGGTGTAAGCGAGGATTTGAAAACTTCCTCTAGGAGTCAAAGCTGTGAAGGGCAGGTTGACATTTGCACCCCAGAAGAACTGACCTTCCTGACAACAATGGTGAATAAACTTAATCCTGGGGTGGAAGTGGGGAGGGCTTCCTGTTATCACATGACATCGCACAGAGGCACCAAGGTGTCCCCAAGCCACATCCACAAGAGTGCAGACTCAGCCAAGCTTGGCCGTGGCTCCTCAGGAGGGGACTTCAAAAAACCTCACTTGGGACAACGGAGTCCTTGGTGTGGCTTTGAACCAACACACTGTAGCTTACTCCTCAACCTGCACCTTCATTTTGGTTCCAAAAGACCACAGGGGAGGGCTGTGGAGACTGCTCACCTCTCCTCAGTGGAGAAGACGAATTTCCTAAGCTTCAGGTCCCCCAGCACGATGGCCGACTGGTGACAGTGGGCAACGGCACAGACAATCTGCTTGAAGAGCCGGGAAGCCTCCTCCTCCCGTAGCCTCTTCCGACTTCGCACATAGGAGTGCATGTCCCCAAAGTCCTTCTCAAAGAAGACGTAGGCCTTGGTTTCCCCAAGGATCACTTCCACAATGCCAGTGATGTTTCTGTGTGACGGCAGCTGGATGTAAGGCCTGATTTTGTCCTGGTAGTGTTTAATGGGAAACACCTGCAGAGAGAAGGTGACCAACTTAGGAGGCAAGAAAAGCAGACGCCACCTCCAAAATCCCAGGCTGGGCTGCAGTTCTCAATCTTTGGGCTTTGGTTGACAATAGGCTCCGTTCATTTACTCCACTTATCTCTGCCACCCCACCATATGCAACGCCAGCTGCCCTTAACACCCCAGACCAGCAGCCAACCTCTATGTAGGGCTCTGGGTTAGCAAATATATCCAATGGGTTACCATATGGAAGGTTTGAAAGAACTGTCTTCTATATATGTTCCCATCTTCCATGAAGCCATCAGCTCTAGAGGGCTAAGCCTCAAAGTCCCCACCCTCTGTAGCCCTTCCTTTTTGGGAGGCAATGCTGCTGGAAGTGGCAGATAGGTGTCCCCTGGGATCTCCAGGAGGTGAAAAGCAGGCCCTGGAAAAGCATGGCTTCCTGCAAACCCAAGGTGCTCAGCAGAGAGAGCACAGGCTATGGTGACTGCAGTCTCCAAGTGGAAGCCGGGACTGGAGACAGGCAGATCAGTCATTAGTCAGAGGAACAGATGACTTGGAGAGGCTGACCACGCAGCCTTAAGCAACCTGCCCACAGTCTTGGGTGAAAATTCTCACAGGCCAGATATGGGATCCCCTCCACCGTTTTTTGTTTGTTTTCCATGTTTTTCTCTCCTCCTCCCAACTCCCATCCCCACCTTCACCCAGGAAATGGGGAGTATCTCCTCTAAGAAGCTGGCTGGTCTCTTTAAAGGCCTTTTGTTTAGTCCGGTTACTCATATCCTAGGACTCAACTGGAAACGGTGACACACGGGCTGTCACCATCTGGATTCAGCTATTATCTGCTCAGAGGAACTGGAAGGGGTTGCACAACGGCCAGACCCACCCCACCTCTGAGGCCCGGCTGCTCTGGCACCAGCTAGAAAAATCTCTCTGCTGCCCCCTTCCTCCCAAGTCGGCCCCACCCCACCGCACACACATACTTTTCCCAAACCAGCTCTTAGCCCCCCGGCCACTGAGAAGAAAAGATTTTTCCCTCTTTAAACTGGGCTTGATCAAGCGATTGAAATTTCATTCAGGTCGGACAGTAGGTGGCAGCAGCAAGCCCGGGGTTTGTGTGTGGGGGGGGGGGGTCAGGTGAGTCGCCGAAAACCCAAGAACGACTTTAACTGAAGGGTGACCCTACCCTTCGGATGAAAAGGAACAGCTCACGGGGGTTCTCAGGAATGTCTGAGCCGAGGATGTCAGGCTCGCAAAGGGCGGGCTATGGGAACGGTCTGTGTCTACGGGCGCTGGAGGGGCACGAGGAGAATCCTAGGAGTTGCCATCTCCTGGATGAAATCCCTTATGTTCAAAAAAAAAAAAAAAAAAGCTGGCCGGAAAATAAAGACATGAATGGAAGCGAGGGTTCCTCGCCGGTGCTGTCTTTCCAACAATTCTACTCCAGGCAAATTCCTCCGCCCTGGCTGGAAGTCATCCTCAGGCTGCTCCCTGGGGTTCTCGTCCCAACGCAGGTTCAAGCCAAAATCCCCAAGACCCGAGCGGGACACCGACAGCGGAGCCCAGGTGCCCTGAGAACCCGGCAAGGGAGCTGCCCGCTGCTCCAAGCTCCAAGGAGGCACCCACTGCAGGGCGTCCTTCCAGGACAAGAGGCGGGGGGAGCGAGGAGAATGAGAGAAGGGGAATGGCATGGCCCTGGAATCCATTTCAATTCCATAACTTATATGGAACGCCACGCGCTGCACTGAGGGCCCAGGAAATACTATAGAGATAAAAGAATTGAGCACTGCGCTTCCTCTTGACCGCCGAGCCCCCTAATTAGATCAGTCCATCCGAAACCCCTCAATCCCCAAAAGGGTGAACCTGGTCAAACGCTGCCTTATCGGGCTCAAAACACTTATCCGCCCTGCCCCAAATGCAAGCGTTGGTGGCACCTTCGGCTCCCGGGAGCCGGCGGGCAAGACTCCAAGCACCTTTGTCTGCCACTACGTCCCCCCCTCACCCCCCGACCCCCGCTGGATCCCGGCCCCCCGACACCTACCTTGCAGCGCAGCTCGCGGCCGGTGTGGATGCACAGTGCCCGGGACACATTCTCGCGCTCGGCCAGGGGCAGCAGCAGGTAGTCGGCGATGCGGCTGGGCCCCGGCGCGCTCCCGGAGCCGCCGCCCGAGCCCGGCGCGGCAGGCGGAGGCTGCGGACTGCAGGGAGAGCCAGGGGGACTGAGGTAGTCCGAGGGGCTGGAGCACTCAGAGAGGCGAGGGCACTTGGCCGCCACGGCCGCCGCGTCGTCCGCGTCCAGCAGACGTTTGGCCGGGGCACCCCGGGCGGCTGGGAGCAACAAGGCCGGGCCGCGGGGCTGCGAGGCGCCGCTCATCGCAGAGCGCACGGGACCGACCCGCATCCCGTCCCAGGCCGGGACGGCCCCGGCTTTGTACGTCCCGGGATCCGCGCGGGAAGGCGCTGCGGGCTCGGCGCCGACGCCGCGACTTATTCCAGCCCGCAGGATAGAGTTTGCAGACGGAGCTGGGCTCGACCCCCACGGGGGGCAAAACAGCAGCGGCTCCCGGACGCTCGCGTTGCACGCGGGGACGACGCTGGCCGCGCGTCCTGGGGTCGCAGGCCTGCTTGTGTCCCCGGACCCCCGCGGGCACTGGGCGCCTCGCTGGGGGCAGCCGCCGCTATTGTTTTCGAGGTTGCCGGCAGATCCAGAAGCAGAGGCGGCGGCAGCCGGCGTTCCCGAGGTCCCGAGCGGCGAGGACAGGATTCCGCAAGCTCGGAGGAGCCACGGAGCAAATGCACTTCCAAAACAAGAAGTCTAGGAGCGAAAGCTCGAGCAACTTTCCGGCGGCGCTCGGGATCCTGCGCGCTCCGGAGCTCCTGGCGTGTGTGTGCACGAGCGAGACGCGCTCAGAGAGAGTGACTGAGTGTGAGTGAGTGAGTGTGTGTGCGCCGCGCCGATCCCGGCCAGTGCACCCCTCCTTCTCCTTTTCCTCCACCTCCTCCGCCTCCCGGTGACTCACGCTGTATACACACACACTCACAAGCCGGGCTGTGTAAACAGTTGGGAAGCCGGGTTGTGCAATGAGGTGGCTGCGACGACTCAGGCCCTGCCGCCCGGCGAGCAGTCACCGAAGCGGAGTGGGGGGAGCAGAGGTGGAGCTGGGTTGGCGGGGGCGCTAGGGGTGGCCCGAGCGCTTGGGGATGCTCGGGGCAGCGCGCGCTTCGGTGCAGGTGGTGTGTCCAGAGCCGGCTCGGGCTGGCGCACACGCCCCTCGGGCTGGGCTGGGCAAAGGCGGGGCGCCCTCCCGCAGCCCCGGGGTTCAGCTAGAGGAGCCCGAGGAGGGGGCGGAGGAAAAGTTCCTGTGACGTCAGGGTCCCGAGGAAGTAGGCGGGAGGGGCGGGGCCGCGGGGGGCGAAGCGACCGCTGATTGGTGCGCGCTCCCCATTCACACAGAGCACAATGGGCTGCGGGAGCGCGCACCACGGTTCTCCGCACCCGCCTCTGGCTGTAGCCTCGCCGTTATGCCTTTCGCCCCGGGGATCCCTCCGCCGCCCTGCGCCTAGGGATCTAGGGTTGGAGCCTTGGGCGCCGCCGGGGCCCAGCTGCGCCGGGAGGAAAGGAGGATAGGGAGGGTGATGAATTCCAGAGTCAGTCATTCACCCCCACGCGATAGTTCCGGGGAAGACCTGAGCGTGGTAGTGGATGTGGCTTTTTTTTTTTCCTTTTCCTGTCCCCTCCAGCTCTAATCCCCAACGTCTGTTCGCTTCCACAAATAGAACCTTCTGTTGGATGAAATAAAAGCAAACACTGGGCCTTCTGCGCTGCCTCCACCTCCACGCCCCTCCCGCGCGCTCGCCGCCCGCCGGGATTGCACGGAAATAGCTTCTCCAAGCTCTCTGGCCGCCCCTTCGCGGTGACTCGCGGAAAGAGCTTCCTGAGCCGGAGCCGGTGGGAAACAAAGGATGTGGGGAGCGGGCGGAAGGGGCCCACGTGGCCGCCGCCGGATTCTTGCCTGCTCCCCGGCCTCCACAGCAGGGACTGGGGCCCCGGTGTCAGCCCCGGTTCCGTGGTGGGCGGGTAGGGGAGTGGAAGTCTTTCTGGCCATCAACAATGATACTGCCTACACAGGGGCAACCCTGCCAGGTCGTGTGCTTGCTTTCGTGCAATGTGATGTCGGTGAGCACGAAATGCGTGCCAGACTCCATAAAGCTCCATAAAAAAAAAAATTTTTTTTTTAAACAACTTAGAATCTGTCGCTTTCTTTCATGAGAACCAAGCCAATTTGGAGTCCCTGTCCATCCAACGTAGATAACGATTAACAGAGAGTCCCTGCATGGCTGCTAAATACTTAATTTTCTAAAATTAGGTCGAGCCCCAAAGATAAATCCTTTTCCATATTGTCTCCATTCATTCAACAAACACTAATTAAGCATCTTAAGGGCTAGATGCTGGAGATTAGAGATGAAATTTAAAATAATACCAATAGCTAATATTGAGGTCCATAACGTGTCAGGCACTGTTCTTAACACTTAACTCGGATTACTTCTCTTCAGTTTTACAACCACGCCGTGGGAGAAGCCTGCAAAGCTTAAGTTACTTGCTGTGGTCAGATCGCTAGTAAGTGGTGGCATATTCAAGCTCTTAAGCACTCGTGGGGACTCCCAAGGAGAGATTACAGTTTGTAGGGAGAAAAGAGGAGTTAGGAAGGAATCCATCTAGAAGGCATTTGGCCTGGGGGATGTATGGGATGGTGAGACTGTTGTTCAGGGGGAAGTTATGAATGGTGGGTGGTCAAGCCAGGTAAAATCTCAGGGAAGGGCAGGGTTGCCTCCAACAGGCCAGGGTGGCTGCAAGGGTGGCAAGGAGCTGGGCCTGCAGAAGTCCTTTGGGGAAATGTAAAAGTCTCCAATGCTGTGCTGAGAAGGTTGCACGTGGTCCTGTGGCCAGCAGAGAGCCCCCCTCAGATTTTCAGTCTTGCAAGTTTATTTTGTGCCAACATTTAAAATCCACTGAGCTGCCAACTTCTCCTCTGGACTTGGACAGCAAACTCAGCATGGTCCATGAGCATCTTCCTCCAAGGTATGCACCGCCTTTACTTCCTCTTCTGAGAGAGGCATCACCACCAGCCACCCCTGGACCAGAAACCCTGGCAGTCATGTCTCCTCGAATGCGCCTTTTTCCTGTCCCCCACAGCCGATGTGTCACTGGGTCCATACTAGACGTGTTTGCTCTCTGAGCCCTCTTCTGCTCAGCTTCCTGAGGCTGCTGCCCCTTGCAAATTCTGTTTCCCATGCTCCCTTGCCCACTGGCTTCCAGCCCAGTTTGCCCAGTGGGAGGCCCTGGGGAGAGATGGGAAGGTGGGAGGAAGTGGAGGGTAGCAGCTACTTCCTTCCTTACTCTGTCTGCTTTGGGCACTGACTGTACTTCCTCTGTGGCTCCAGCCCCCCCCAGGCAGCCTGTTTTTATGACTGTTGCCATGTATTTATTTGTATAGCCAGGTCCTCCTGCAATACAAGGGTTTCATCTCCTCTCCTCCCCAGCTGCTGGGGTGCCTTTTGGGAGCTTTTGTTGGGAACTGCCTTGGCTGAGAAGTTACCTTGTCCGCGGTCACACTTGCTTCCCAGGAGGTCCACATCCAGTGACAGGTGTCTGTGGGATTATAAAGGTCTGGCCTCCTTGCCCTAACTTGGGCCGACTCTGAAGGGCATCCCAGCTTCACAGCACCCATATAGGGGCAAGGAGGCCTTCCTTCAGATGACCTCCAGCCCAGGCCTTCTCTGTGCTCAATCCTGTTCCTTTCTTCCCAGAATATTCCGGAATAAACCCCCTGCATGTCAATCATCTCTGAGTTTGCGTCCTGGGAAACCCAACCATGGAATCCGTTCCCTCTTTATAGCCCCAGCTCACTCTAGACACTGGGGCTCCTGGAATCAAGTGACACTGCTTTTGTCCCTCCAGCCCTAGGATGGCAGGGGCCTCTTGATGTTGCTGATTTCTGATTGCCCCTCGGACCATGCTGTTCTGTTCTGTTTTGTTTCTGCTCTTCCAATACCTTTGTGACTAGCTCCCCACTTTAAATTCTTCTCGTTGAACTTCCTGGCCTGGGTTCTGTTTTCCTGACTGATACAAATCTTGTACTTTTTTCTTTGTCCACCTGTGCCTCTCCACTCTCATAATCTTAGTTTGGAACGTTCTGGATTTCTGTAGTCATCCCCTAACTGGGTCATTCATTTCTCACGTCGTCTGCCAGTGCACCTACTTGGTAGGTGCTGGAGATATAATGGTGCACAAAACAAAATGTGTCCTTAAGTTCCTCAATCCATTCCCCTCGCATATATCAGAGTCCTTTTTCTAAAATGTGAACTTTATCACATCAGGCCCTGGCCTAACCCCTTGCGGGGACTTTCCAATAAAATCTACCACAGTGTGGAAAAGTGGGCCCTTTGTCCTAGCCCCACTTCCCTTCCCAGCCTCACCTTTCTTGTGTTCTCATCACTACCTCGCCCACGCCAGCTTCTGGTAGGGCCCTAAATCATCATGCCCATTTGCATCTCTGCATTTTTGCCTCTGCTGTTTCCACCCACTGGAATTTTCTCCCCTCCCCCTGCCAATCT